CTGAGCTGAGATCATAGGAGGCAAGTACCCAAGAATGTTTGTGCACACAGAGGATGTGTGTCTGATGATGTACTTCTAATTACATTCCAAAGTCAATTATTAATTAATTGAATTTTCTGCACCTTCATTAACATAAATAACAGAGTTGACCATACTTTGAATACCTACTCTATACTTCTTTTAAAGGCTGGCGTCAAAACAAAATCACAAAATTTGTTTTAAAATCTCTGCACCCAAGAAACTCTAACTTGAGCAATGTCAGTTAAATGCATGCTATTTCAATGTTTATCATTTCAGTTTTCTATATTAGATAACTTAACCTAGACTTTTATAATGAAGAGAAAGGTGATGAAATATGTTACATTATAAGGGAGATACTTAGTAAATAAACCTTGTGATTTACTAATGTCTTTGCAAATAAAACACAAAATGAGAGAAATATAGATATTATTAGAAGGTAGCAGGATATTATACATTCTGTAACAATCTCAGAGAATGGTACTCATCACTTTCATTCCTTTCTACTCTGGAAATACATTTTTTATACAAAGCCTATACTGATGTTCTCTTCATCTGTGGCATTCTTACATATACAGAACTTTAGAGCTGGTAAAGCATGGGCTCTGCAGTTCAAGTTCCAGCAACACCACTTACTAGATAATAACAGTTAATATTTTGACATATATTAACATTTTAATCCTCAGTTTCCTTATCTGTAAAATGTAAAAAATAAAGGTACTGAATTTCTTCTATCATAAAGTTATTATAAGAATTAATGAGCTAATACATGTAAAGCACATACCACAAGTTTGGCAATATTATATTTCAATTCCTCAACTTTACGGACTGGAAATCTAAAGCCTAGAAAGGCAAAAACTATTTTGTCCTAAATGACACAACTATTAATATTTAGTGGCAGCGTATTCCTCCGTGTGTGGTAAAACTAAAAGTCAAGTCCCCTGAGTCACAGTTTAGACACTTTATCAACTATAGTTTGCAATATAGGATTGTCTCTCTAGCTTTGGCCAACAACTTAAGTTTCAGGCCCTGCCTACAAATAATGTAAAAATGCAAAGATGGGATAACTATGTGTTGACTAACAGGTAAAATTAAGAGGCAAGCAGAGACAACATTGTGCAAAGGGAAATTTCTGCAGAAGGTGCTCACTGCTATTGGCCAAACACTAAACAACTGCTGCTCCCATTGCAGGTCTGACGCCTCAGGGGAATACATTTTAATCTTGTTCATAACTTTATCCTGGAGTCTAAGAAAATCCAGGACAACCAGCCGAGCAGGAAGAGTGTGGTAGCCAGAGAACTGGTGACCTCTCTTGTGCTACACTAAGATCCTCTTACTCTTTTGCTCTGAGAAGAAAGATTAATTTTGAGTTGTCCCTTGAAATAGTATTTATAAATAATAAACAGGATTGAGAAATAAAATATGACTGTAATCATTCTTAGAAGTGGTGGCAATAATATTGCTTGAAATAATAGAAACAAACATTGATAAGAGGTAACCAAACCAGAAAACTGGAAATTAGACAATGAATCAGCTCCAACACTTTTCCTTCTACAATGCCATAAACCAAGACAGAAAGAATATATTCCAGTGTGAATAGAAACCGTAAGAAGCAATCACTACCATTTAGTCCTTTTTATCAGTCACTGCCAGGTAATTAGGAGGTCTGAAAAGTTTCCTTGACCTAGACTTTTTGATGGCTAGTAAAATAACTATTCAGAATAGCAGTGGAAAGTAATCCTGAACATACAAATTCAGTGGAAAGCAAAATAAAAATAAAAGGGTAGAAGGAAATCAGAGAAGAGGAAGAGACAAACATTTTGGCAAATGTAGGGGAAACCTAAGAATGAGACACTTTTTAATGACAATGACAAACCTGCAAAAAGATTTGGAATGATACAGTAATGTAAAGAAGCAACTCTTGGGCAAAATAGAAAGGAAAAATAATAAAATTTGAACAGGACAAGATGAGATGTTCTGAAATGGAAAAGAAAGGACTTGAGAAGTAGAAGGGCAAAGGCAGCAAGATTTCCTCTATTTTTACTTTCTTCTAGCACTTTTAGAAGAATATTACAATTTATAACTTTGAACATACTTTGTAAAATGGATCATTACTACTGGCAAGGAGACACCTAAGCACAAAGAGTGAGGGATAAGAATCAGGACAAAAATCATCAAAGCTTAGCTTTCAATGACCTTGTACATACAGCCACCAGATGAAGTTGAGACAAAATTCTTTTAGAGGAAATTCTATGGTCTATTTTACTATTCAACAAATTGGGGGCACATTGTCAAGGGAGGTCTCCTTTTGTCTAAGAAAAATTAAAATCGTAATACAAATGAAAAACCAGTTCATTTGGTCCTTATGAGATTGACTATACACTGAATTAATTGAGAAAAATGTTAAAACAAAAAAAGTCTGATTTTCAGAAATTATCTGAGAATTCCAGAAATAACAACATGTTTTTAAATCACTGTTCTCACAACTGTACATTTTTTGGTACATAGTATCCTCAAGCTTACAAAGATTTGACTGTAATCTTTGGAGACAACTAATCTTAACAGGCAACTAGAATAATTCATAGGTAGAAGGATATACAGAATTATCCAGAATTCCTCAAAACCAAAGAGAAGACTACTTTTAGGTTTGTGAGACCAGGGTACAGGTAGCTCCCCACTGAGAAAGCCAAAGTGCAGCAAAGCACATCTCTAGAAGATATAAACAGACCTTCAGTTAAATGGAAGGCTTGGCTAACCACAGTTGAGTAAACCTGAGTTACAGTGTAATCTGATAAGGAACAAACAGCATAGATTCCAGAAGTCTAAACCATGTGTCCCTAACACACTAGCATTCTCTGAAAGAATTAATCAGAGTGGATAAAGAAAACCATATATATAATTCAGAAGGTTGTTTTTTAAAAATACAGTTTCTCATAAGAGGCTATTGAGAAACTTTAATAACTGTTGTAGATTAAAAATTAACAGACAATAAATCAAGACCAATATGGAAAGTATCCAGAGATTAATACTAAGCTAGTAAAAAAAAAAAAAAAAAAAAAAAAAAAAAAAAAAAAACCTTATTTTAAAGACTTAAAAGAAGCATATGTGGACAGAAAGGAGAAGACAAAAAATTGCCAATGACATAAAACTATCCACTGTAAAGCCTGAAAGTCCTTGCTAAGATACGATGAAATTCCCTCTTAAAAAAGTAAAGAAACAATACTAAACATATAATGATAGGACCAAAGTTACTAGTTTAAAAAATAATAATAATAAAAAAACACCAAGATTGGTAAGATTTGCCAGAGTGAGAAAAAGGATAGAATAAGAGAAGATATGATAAAGATTGATAAAATAACGAATGGCAAAGAGAATGCCAACTGATGCCATTTGTTTACTTTTTCCTTTATGAAAACACAAACTTTAGGTCAAGCTTTATAATAATAAGATAAAAAAATGAAAAGAATAAATTATTTTATATACCACATAATTAGCCCACTGAACATGCTGTCATAGGCTATCAATAAGGCACAAAGCTTAGTATGGCTCTCAAAAACTTCAGTGATATCAAAACATGACTAGTAAAATTTCTTACGGTCAAAACTAAAATGGAGCACACAATTCATGCTTCAGGGTATTAACTAGGCAAGGTCAGGAAGAAACTTTTCTTTCCAATTGCCGTAGTATTCAAGATGATTTACGATTTCAGCTTTTCAGTATTCCTAATTCCAATTTAGAGTCCAAATTATTATTCAAAAAAATCTTATGCCATTTTTCCAGATATACTCTTCTTTCCTATTTTTCTAAATAACAAAGCCTTCCATTTTCACCTCATTCTCCTTCCGCTTCATTTATCCAAGCTTCAAAATACTGCCTAAGAAGTGACCATGAATAACCACTAAACCATAAAGAATACGTTTGAAAATAAATTATATAATTTGTTAAATGTTCCTCTCTTCTTAGACAAAAATTAAAATTCATACAATAAATTGGTTTTGTTCATAGTCTGTTCATATAACAAAATTAGAGTTTGGATGCTAAGATAGATCATATTTAAGAATATTTTAACCTGTGTCCAGTAGCTACAGCAAGAAGCATTCTTTTATATAATAAATTTCAATGAATAAGCAACATCATTTTATGAAGTAAGACAGTGGAATGCCCATTAAAAAGGTACAGTCCTCTAGGCTCTGTCTTTACTATGGGGAATCAGCAATTGGTCTACGAAATGCTATGGCCCCAGTCAGTTCATAAATTCAACACATAAAGAATAGGCCATGTATGAATGAGTTACAGGCAAAATTCACAGCCGGAAAGCCTAAGAAACTGTGTCTGAAAAACTTAGCAGATCAATAAAAAACATATTAAATTTAAATTACTGAAAATGATAAAATTATGTGTGGACGAGGCCAAAGTGACCAGGAGGCAGGTTTACACCTTGTGTCCATTTTGTAATCCAGTCCTCTCCATTTTGGGCTTAGCAATAGGGTGCCACACGTGGTGTAAGGCCAGCCGTAGCATTCAAGCTTGACTGAATTTTAAAAGTGACAGAGTAATCAAATATGCTCCAAGGGCATTCCAGAATTTCGGGTGCTACTAACCACTAAAATCAACCTTCTTAGTGCTTACTTCAACTTCAACAGGATGTAAAGTACAATCCCCACGTCAATTAAATGTAAGCTCATATATTTCATCTATCAAAAATTGGTGCCCAAAATATATCACTTGAAAAAAAGGTTTTATTATATGTATCTAAGTAGTTATGCAACACCAGTTTTAAATAAGTGATAATCTTCTAAAATATAGGATTTATATATTTCTTCCGGAGTATAAGAATCGGCTTTAGCATTAATAAGGCAGTAGCTACTCTTTCTATGGAATAGAAAACTAAGCAGTAGAAGCCTGTGTATGGTATTTCATTTGAGAGACAAAAGAAGAAATTCAAACAGATGGAAAGTGAAATATAATAAAGTTATACTTGCCTGCATTAATTTTCCTTCTGCTGGAGTTATTTCAGCAACACCAGCAAACACACCTTCCAAAGTGAGATTCAGTTTTCCTGTGGGGTCCATTTTCAAGGGGATCACTCTGATAATAGCTTTCTGTTCTGCGGATCTTTCAGACTCCACCGCTGCTGCCAGTACCAGTCCGGTGCGTCCAAAGCCTGCCTGCAGGGTAGCCATCAGCAGCCAGGGCCAGAGGGCAGCCAGCTGCAGCTGGTGGCCACCACTCATGCTACCAGCTGCAGCAATGCACTTCAACCATACATACTGCTTCCACTAGCTAATACCAAATGCAGGTTCTCAGATCCAGACAAATGGAGGAAAAGAACATTTATGCTTCAGTTTCAGAAAGCCAAGTCGTAGTTTTGGCCCTTCCTTTCTCTAAAGTTTATTCCCAAGAACAGGTGGCATTCCTGATTGGGCAGAGAAGAGGATATTTTCAGCCCACATCTGCTGCAGGTATGTCATTTTCTCCCATCTTCACTGTGACTAGTAAAGGTCTCACTACTTCTCTTTGGAATTTCCAACTTTGCTTGTGATTGAATGTCACATCCTGAATTTATATTATGTCAGATCGCTTGGCATTGCTCTTCCATATGCATCAAGTTGCCAGGCACTAAACCCAACGTTCATGAACAAAACAAGGCAAAGTAAATAGCTAAGGCCATGCATCAAAGGTGAGAGTGAAGAACTCCAGCTCGGAAAAGGAAGAGATGGCCCTTTTTAAGCCACAATATGTGTCAACGGTAAATGACTAAATACCACAAGGAGACTTCTTTTTTAATGGAGGAGAAGAGGAAACAATAAAAATTTCAGGCCACACGTTGATGTCCAAAGATGCTACAACATGTATTTAGAAAAGTTTCCACATTAAACTGTATTTCAGTATGGCTAGGATTCTAGGCTCACTGCGTTTACATACTTTTCATGGACTTAGACATACCATAATTTTTTGTGTTTTACCAAAATTTGCCTATAAATTAAGTGCAAATTTATGTATCTTCACACATTACAGGATAATCCTGACCGTAACAACCTTTTCCAGCTTTCATAGAGTATTTGAAAAGGTTAGCTTTCTAATTATTTTTCCCAGTTAAAATTCATATTTCTGTCTCCATTTTCCTTTATTTCTTAAGGATTCTAGATTTTATTCTCTAGCTCGGAAATGCCGAGCACTTTGATTTCCCGTGAGATGCTTTTGGAAACTAATATCCAGATTTTATAATCTGAAATTTTCCAGGTTCATGAGAAAACAAAGCACTATTCCCAACATGTTTTCAAATTCCTTGAGGGGGTGGGGAATAAAAGTTAGGGGGAGCTGGGAGGTGATTAACCATAGGCTCTAGGTAGAATACCCTGAAAAAAATACAAATAAGCTTGAGTAGAGTAGATCTGTGCTATTTCTAGTCACTATGAAAATTTGGGTCTTTGTATAAACATGGAATAAGATTTTTTCAATGTGCCCCCTTAAGTAAATATAAATACATTTCATCCACAAAGCCCTCTGTGTTCCAAGGTCAAGTTTTAAAATCTTATAAAGTCTTCAGAATAAGTGCTGAAAAGTCAAGCAATTGAGCATGAACCTGTTATATAGATTCTTTTCTTTTGCTGAGGCAGAGGGAGGGGGGAAAAAGAATTTCAAAAGAAATCTGCAAACCTGTTGTGCTGTCGGGCCCACTGGAATCCACGGGGGTGAAACAAATTCAATTACGCTTTTACAGATCCTGCTCAAAAAAGGTTTCAACTGCTTAACCAAGTGCAGCTCATTCTTCCACCTTCTTACTCTGCAACCAGACCAAGTGCCCCATACTACAGGTAGGTGCCGAGAAATTCCGCAGCCTGAAAAAATAATCCATGCAGGTCAAAGGCAGAAATTTATTCCAGGATGAGAGCTGCTGTCCCAAGAACTAGATTAAACACTTATAGAACATTCAAAATCATTTCTGAAAACTCCTTTCTAATAAAAGTTCTTTTTTTTTTTTCTCCAAACAGCATATAAAATGATCAAGTCTTAAAAGAGAAAAGAAGCAAAGGAGCAAATACGTCAACGACAATTCACAATCGGAAACACAGAAAATCCCAGAGAGAGAAGGCAGTATTTCTGAATCATGGATGGACTTGGGAAGTTCAGAAGGATTCGAGTGCTTCCTTTCAGAAAGACAATTCTGGATCAACTCCCTAGAACAGGAAGCCTGCGGTTTGTAATTGGTGTTCTAGCTCGGACTCCCTCCCCTGGGACTGCAATCACGCTCTCTACCTGCTGACAAAGTGAGGGTGGAGCTGCTAGAGGCAACCACCCCCTACCCCACCCCCCTCCTCCTGGTGTGCACATACAACACTTGCTTAACCAGACACGTTCTTTCACTCTCTCCTCCCTCAGCTCCTCTACTCCCTCTATTGAGCCACAGCTAAATTGCATCCAATACAATCCCCAATACCTTTCTCTGGGTAAGCAAGCTACCACATGTAAATCAGAGCCACTCAAACATATCTAAGCAGACTCTGCACCCAACGGAGCATAGATGATCGTATGAGGAAACAAACAGAAAAAAATAAAGCTAATCCAGAACATAAAAGAATGGACACAAGGTTTTGCAAATACAGGTTCAAAAGGATTTCTGCTCATTTTGAGTATCTATAAATGGCACAAAGCCAGAATAAAGTGATCCTGTGCTTTAGTACTTACTGATTTATTGCTGCTTATGTCTGCTATGCTAAGAAGGGCTCTGTCCATTTTATGCTTAGCTTTTCTTCAGCTCTTACTAATTTAAATTCAGTAGCTCTGTCTAAACTGGGCCTGCATGGAACTTTCAAATCAGGTTGATGTCAGAGGTATGGAATCAAATTGTTATTTTTTTTTCAATCTTTGGGAGGTGAAATAATACTATGAATCAGACCTATTATCTCCAATGTAAGACTCCAAGTAAGTCCACGTCATAAATACAAGCAAAAGGGTAAAATATGATTAATGAGAAGAGTATAGGCAAAAGAAAATGAATTTCTGGATAATTACTCACATTCATGAACTATAATCCTTATTACTACCTTGCCCTTAGAAACAATACAAATGTTTCTAATGTATTTATAACATTTGAAGTTTCAAATTACCAGATTATCTTTGACTGTGGTGAGACATTTTATTTTTGAACTGCTGCCATAAACTTTCAGAATTATACAAATGAACAACAATGTAGATACAGGCAAATCTAGTGAACTGCACACTTAAACATGGTTATGATGGTAGATTTTATGTGTTTCTTACCTCAGGTACAAATAAATCTCTGATCATCTGTAAAATGCTGATGATAGTAATTACATAGGTCTGTTGCAAAGGTTAAATGACATAACACCTCTGAAAGCAAAAAGGATGAGTAGCCTATTGACCTTTAACATTGTTTCCCCTGTAGATAAAGTTTATGAGAGTAGTTTCAGAATTTCGGATCTAATAACTAAACCAGGTCAAAGACAAATTCTAAAATAAATTTTGGCCAGGCACGGTGGCTCACGCCTGTAATCCCAGCACTTTGGGAGGCTGAGACAGGTGGATCACAACATCAGGAGATCGAGACCATCCTGGCCAATGCGGTGAAACCCCGTCTCTACCAAAAACACAAAAATTAGCTGGGTGTCATGTTGCATGCCTGTAATTCGAGCTACTCAGGAGGCTAAGGCAGGAGAATCGCTTGAACCAGGGAGTCAGAGGTTGCAGTGAGCGGAGATCACACCACTGCACTCCAGCCTGGAGACAGAGCAAGAATCCTTCTCAAAAATAAATAAATACAAAAAGAGGGAATCCTCCCCAACTCATCTAATGAGACCAACTTCATCCTAATACCAAAACCAGGCAGAGACGCAACAAAAAAAAGACAACTTCAGGCCAATATCCATGATGAACATCGACGCAAAAATCTTCAATAAAATACTGGCAAACAGAATGCAACAGAAATCAAAAAGCTTATTCATCATTATCAAGCAGGCTTCATCCCGGGGATGCAAGGCTGGTTCAACATATGCAAGTCTATGAACGTAATCCATCACATAAACAGAACCAAAGACAAAAACCACATGATTATCTCAATAGATGCAGAGAAGGCCTTCCACAAAATTCAACAGTCCTTTAAGCTAAAAACTCTCAATAAACTAGGTATTGATGGAACGTATCACAAAATATTAAAAGCTATTTATTACAAACCCACAGACAATATCATACTGAACAGGCAAAACCTGGAAGCATTCCCTTTGAAATCTGGCACAAGACAAAGATGCCCTCTCTCACCACTCCTATTCAATATAGTACCAGAAGTTCTAGCCAGAGCAATCAGGCAAGAAAAAGAAATAAAGCATATTCAATTAGGAAAAGAAGAAGCCAAATTGTCTTTATTGGCAGACAACATGATTGTATATTTAGAAGATCCCATCATCTCAGCCCAATTATCTCCTGAAACTGCTAAGCAACTTCAGCAAAGTCTCAGGATACAAAATCAATGTGCAGAAATCACAAGCATTTCTATACACCAATAACAGACAAACAGAGAGCCAAATCAAAAGTGAACTCCCATTCACAATTGCTACAAAGAGAATAAAATACCTAGGAATACAACTAACAAAGAATGAAAAGGACCTCTTCAAGGAGAACTACAAACCACTACTCAATGAAATAAGAGAGGACACAAACAGATGGAAAAACATTCCATGATCATGGTTGGGAAGAATCAACATCATGAAAATGGCCATACTGTCCAAAGTAATTTATAGATTCAATGCTATCCCCACCAAGCTACCAATGACCTTCTTCACAGAACTGGAAAAAATAACTTCAAACTTCATATGGAACCAAAAGAGAGCCCATATAGCCAAAACAATCCTAAGCACAAAGAGCAAAGCTGGAGGCATCATGCTGCCTGACTTTAAACTATACTACAAGGCCACAGTAATCAAAACAGCATGGTACTGGTACCAAAACAGAGACATAAAAAATGGAACAGAACAGAGGCCTCAGAAGCAACATCACAAATCTACAATCATCTGATCTTTGACAAACCTGAGAAAAACAAGCAATGGGGAAAGGATTCCCTGTTTAATAAATGGTGTTGGGAAAACTGGCTAGCCATGTGCAGAAAGCAGAAACTGGACACCTGCCTGACACCTTACACTAAAATTAACTCCAGATGGATTAGAGATCTAAACATAAGACCTAATACCATAAAAACCCTAAAAGAAAATCTAGGCAAAACCATTCAGGACATAGGCATAGACAAGGACTTCATGGCTAAAACATCAAAAGCAATGGCAACAAAAGCCAAAATAGACAAATGGGATCTAATTAAACTCCAGAGCTTCTGCACAGCAAAAGAAACAAATAATTAGAGTGAACCAGCAACCAAAAGAATGGAAAAATAATTTTGCAATCTACCCATCTGACAAAGGGCTAATACCCAGAATCTGCAAGGAACTAAAACAGATTTACAAGAAAAAAACAAACCCATTCAAAAGTGGGCAAAGGGTATGAACAGACACTTTTCAAAAGAAGACATATACGAGGCCAACAAACCTAAGAAAAAATGTTCATCATCACTGGTCATTAGAGAAATGCAAATCAAAACCACACTGAGATACTACCTCATGCCAGTTAGAATGGGACATGGATCAATCTGGAAACCACCATTCTCAGCAAACTCACACAAGAACAGAAAACCAAACACCGCATGTTCTCACTCATAGGCGGGTGGGTGTTGAACAATTAGAACATGTGGACAAAGGGAGGGGAGCATCATGGTCAGTTGTGGGGGGCTAGGAGAGGGACAGTGGGGGGTGGGGAGGAATAACAAAGGGAGAAATACCAGATATAGGTGATGGGGGGAATGAAGGCAGCAAACCACCTTGCCATGTATGCAACAATCCTGCATGGTTTGCACATTTACCCCAGAACCTAGAGTACAATTAAATAAATAAATAATTTTTTTTTTTGTTTTTATTGTTTGAGACAGGTCACAATCTTTTGCCCATGCTGGAGCACAGTTGTGCCATCCATGGCTCACTGCAGCCTTGACTTTCATGGCTCAAGTGATCCTCCCACCTCAGCCTCTGAAGTAGCTGGGACCACAGGTGTATGCCACCACACCCCGCAAATTTTAAAAATTTTTTTGTAGGGATGGGTTCTCCCTATGTTTCCCAGGCTCAATTTGAACTCCTGGGCCCTAGCAATCCTCTAATCTTGGCCTCGTAAAGTACTGGGATTATAGGCATGACCCACTGTGCCAGGCCTAAAATAAATTATTAATTTAGCACTTTTTCTGTTTTGTTTGGACTTTTAGAATATAATGCAGGTACAGTTGGCCAGGCACGGTGGCTCACGCCTATAATCCCAGTGCTTTAGGAGGCTGAGGCAGGTGAATCACCTGATGTCAGGAGTTCGAGACCAGCCTGGCCAACACGATGAAACCCTGTCCCTACTAAAAATACAAAAAATTAGCCAGGCATTGATGGCATGCACCTGTAATCCCAACTACTTAAGAGGCTGAGGCAGGAGACTCTCTTGAACCTGGGAGGTGGAGGTTGCAATGAGCTGAGATGGTGCCACTGCCCTCTAGTCTGGGTGACAGAGCAAGACTCCATCTCAAAAAAAAAAAAAAAGGAATAGAATTTGGGTACAGTAATCCCTTGGTATCCAAAGGACACTGGTTCCAGCAAACCCTGAGAATACCAAAATCCAAGGATGCTCACACCTTTATTAAAATGGCTTAGTATTTGCATATTACCTATGCACATCCTCCTGTATATTTTAATTCATCTCTAGATTACCTATAATACCGAAAGCAATGCCTATATATCCCTTAATTCTCATGGATTTAAAGCATATGGCCTGTGGCATATTCAAGTTCTGCTTTTTGGAATTTTTTTTTCCAAGTTTTTTCAATCTGAAGTTATCTGAATCCATGGATGTGGAACCCACTGATATGGAAGGCCAACTGTATAGACCCTTTGTAGCTCCTTTCCTAAAAGATAGGAAGAGCATTCTAATTCTGCTAGAGATAATTTTTTTGAAATCTGTTATGGCTTATGTTTTCATTCTATGTATGCCATGTAATCATGTAGTATAAATAATGCAACATACACATGGTTATATACGATATATGCAAAAATACCTTTAAAGTTAAACTAAACAAAAAAATAACCTGCAAATGGGCTTGGCCTCATCTATTCCTGCTTAAAATGTGCAAAGGAATGAAGAGACCCAACCCTAGTAATGAATACACACACTTAGTTGACAGAAAGAAAAAAGGGCAAATGTGGTTGCCTTCTCTTGAGGAAACGCTGAGATATGGAAATGATGATGACATATATCATGAACCTGGAGAGGTGGAGAAATGCAGAATCAAACCAGACAGCTTTATGTAGTTTAGTTTACTGTTTTAGGTCACCAGAATTAGAAGAGCAATTATTCTCCAGCTTCAAAGTTCTAGAGTTACCCTCTAAGGTTGATATACCACATTTTCCTAGAGATGTCATAAAGATGCCATCACTATTGTAATGAAATCCCTGTCTCAAAAAGATCTACTAGCTAATCTTTATTTTTATTTATTTATTTATTTTTGAGACAGAGTCTTGCTCTATTGCCAGGTGCCAGGCTGGAGTGCAATGGCGTGATCTTGGCCCACTGCAACCTCCACTTCCTGGGTTCAGTCGATTCTCTTGCCTCAGCCTCCAAGTAGCTGGGACTACAGGCACACGCTACCACGTCCAGCTAATTTTTTTTGTATTTTTAGTTGAGACAGAGTTTCACCATGTTGGCCAGGATGGTCTCGATCTCTTGGCCTCATGATCTGCCTGCCTCAGCCTCCCAAAGTGCTGGGATTACAGGCATGAGCCACCGTGCCCATCCTCTACTAGCTAATCTTATAAATGAGACAGATCATCCTTTAGGATCTACTTTCACCTCCAGATGGATTAAATTTATTAAATATCATTCATCTTTTTCCATAAAAGTAGGTTTCTGTAAAACATGTCCAAGAATTGCCCTTATCCTTAGTGGCATTTTAAAAATTCAATTACTATTCAAGTACAAATGAAAAAACAAACTTTTAAAATTCAGATTATTTGAAAAACAAAGTACAATCTCATTTGAATACAAATTATTAACAGTCATAATGATTGAGTTTTCTATTAATCACCAATCAAACGGTAAAAACAAGCAAGACAACAAGTCTAGTTGGAACACTCACTTTATTGTTGACTGATGGAAATTTATCAGTGCTTAAGGTGCAGAAATACTGAGGTACTAGTCAGGAATCCTGTTAGTTGACTAGTTGCATCAGACCCTACTGGATAATTCACAGGAAGATTTTATTATACCTTTTGTCATTTGGCCTAAGTCATTAATGACAGCTTTAGTCGATAGATACAAGGTGTGTAAGGATAGCAGGAGATCCAGCTCCTTGGTCTGCTGTATTCATAAATAAAAAAGTTTGGAAAGCTGATAAGTTATTTCATTAAGCCTTAAAACAACTGAAACCAAATCTATGCCAAGGTTCCTGCTTGACATGTGTTCCTCAAAAGATATTATCTCAACATATAAAAAGCTAAGAAAGCCATATTTAGGGGAAAATATCATCTACACAGTATATTAGCTCTTCAACATGACAGAGAAAAAGCAAAGTTCCTTCATTTGGAAATTGGGTCTCCCCTTCACATACTCTGACAAAATACTGTATAGTCTGGCCAAAAGATGTAAGTGTCTTGATAATTTGCTCTTTTAAACCTTGCTAATAGAGATAAATAAATGCCCATCACATAGACATTAACTAATCTAAACAGATGGACCACACAGGTCACTTTTCAGAACCTACTTTAATATGTAAACAGAGTCACTGTAGATCAATACAGAGCTCACCCTTTTCCAGAAAAGTAGATCTATGTAGTACTTCTAGGATTTGACATCATTGGGAAGACACAATGTAGTGTAAGAAATGAACTGTTACATCCACAATGGCTAGCATAGTACTATGTCATATCACCAAGTGCCTTTTTAATTAGTTTCATATTCCTAGGCTTTCCTTTTGTTTCTGCAGTGCTTAATAGGAGAACTGAAGCAGAATCCAACAGGAAAGTTCTAGTCAACTGAAAGACTTTAAATCAGAAAGTTTCTTGCTGTCACTGGATAAGCAAGTAAGGGATCAATCACAGAAACTAGACATCCAAGTAATCCTCTCCTAAAACAGTCCCACAATCCTACTATGCAAATCTAGAATCCTATAACAAGGATAAGAAAAAAATGTATAGTCTATCCCATTATCCAAAATTCTCTCAGAAGCTTAAACCAGATATAAACCATTTTTTAAAAACCAGAGACATAGCTTCTGCTAAATGACTACTAATCAGTTTTTCCCCAATTTTGCACACAGTACCTTATATAGACAAGTATTTATACTTATTGAGTGTAAAAATCTAAAATAAGAAAATAGTATATTAAATATCTTAATGTTTTGTTCACACATTGTACATTTCCCCTTCAAAATAAAAATACTACACATGCATCCTTTATCCTATCCTGCAATAATAAAAATATAAAACTTTAAAACCTTTAAATCTACCAGCATTTATAAATACAATTATATTAAACAAGTTAAATACTTTCTTTAAATCCATTTAAATAAGTGATATATTAATAAAACCTTTTTACCATTTATGATAATGTACCATTAAAATGAAAGAAAGATATGAAAATAGAAGACTACTTCCATTAATATAAAAGAATCAGGGGCTGTTAAGTGTGATGGATGGTCCAAGTCCGGATGCCTTGCTCTTAAAACAGAATGCTGGGTTAGGAAGTAAGAGAATTTCCTGGTTAATCACTTAGAAAATTAGCTCTTCTCCAGAGTTTCTTCCCTGGAATTCCTGACCCATTTAGACCTGTGATCTTGGTGACCTCACATGCCTTTGTTTCTCACACAATCTCCTCTAAAAGGATCACACTGTGACTTGAATCAGAGAGACTGAATTTCCCACTAAAGTTGTACTGACTACAGTTTCAGTGGCAAGACGAAAAATCAGCACACATACAGATTATTCTCCAGTACCATAGATGGAGCAGTTTTGAGATGCTCCTTGACTATAACAGAAGGCCAGAACTTTTTGTTTAAAAGGGATATGGGCAGCAAAAAAACATGGCTGCTAGATGTTTGGTAGTTTGTCAAGGCAGATAATCTGAACTGAACTGCTGTAGCACATAGCAAATTCTCAATTAACAAAATTCTCAATTAACAAAACAAAAAAATAATTTTTTCCTTAACAGAACTGAAAAAAATCCCAACAGTTTGTCATGTGCAAGGCTAGTCTGCCTCCAGCTACAGCTAGTGCACAATGTCACATTTGTCCTCCATTCCTCACTCTTTTAATTCTTCCTCCTTTGGAAAGTGCTCCTGCTTGCAGGCCACGTCCACCAGCAGATGAAGATCTAGAAAGAAAGGATTGTTTACTCCCTCTTAGCCTCTCTGTAGACTTATAAACAAGTTTCAGACAAGCAGAACAAGTTGTCTATGTCTCACCTGCAGAATTGGCTCTAAAATTATATAGTCCCATCAGATTCTCAATTTCAGGGTATTCCTATAACTCTAAAGCACACTGATGCAGCCCAGTTGTTAACCCAGAGACCAACAAATTTTAGTATCTCTCCTTTTAGTAGTATGTCCAAGCCTCTTTTCATCTCGATTGCCCCCCAACCCCCACCGCCTTTATTTTTTTTGACACAGAGTTCTGCTCTTGTCGCCCAGGCTGGAGTACAGTGGTACAATCTTGGCTCACTGCAATCTCTGCCTCCTGGGTTCAAGTGATTCTCCTGCCTTAGTCTCCCAAGTAGCTAGGACTACAGGCACGCTCCACCACACATGGCTAATTTTTATACTTTTAGTGGAGATGGGGTTTCACCATGTTGGCCAGGCTGGTCTTCAACTCCTAACCTCATGCGATCTGCCTGCCTTGGCCTCCCAAAGTGCTAGAATTACAGGCATGAGCCACCACCCCCAGCTTTCAATTGCCTTTTATTATAAGTGAAAAAGTAAGGAAAAGTATCAAAGGGATCAAACTGAATATACACATACAAATAAAAATTCATTTCCTTTATGCTGTAAGAGTAGATGGGTGGGTTGTGGGAACATGAAAAGGCAATGCCTTCAGAAAAAACAATGTTAAAATAAGTAATCACTGTTTTTCCAAAGTTGATTACCTCTACAAAATTCCCACTTACTAACACAGTTGAATTCTTGTGAAAATACCCAGCTGAACTGTTCGTAAAAAAGAAAGCATATCCTCACACAGTGTTCATTAAGAATGAAATAAGTAAAAATTCAAATTAAGTACTAGGTTCTAAAATACAAAAACGCTAAGACCATGTGTAGAAGTAGAGCTAAAAGGTCTACTATCAAAGGAACACAGGCCCCAAAATAGGATCTTAATGTGGCTTCTAGCTTCAACCTAATGAGCTTATAATTTCTAGAGCAACATGACCAGGGAGTATTTTTAGGTTGGTTTGGAAGCTTACAACTTTGCCTTAGAATTTGTGAGTTAAAGCATACAGCACAAACCCTTTATTTCATTCTCATACAAAGACTTTTGTCACTATCTTTGTGGAACACATCCTCTACAGGATTGATCCACAGCCTGAGCAGGATAGCTGATTCAAATAAATGGAATTCTACTACTACTTTTTAGAAAATCTAGAAAGCATTTGGAACAGTATCTAATTTTTGCCATATTTTGTAAAAGATAGACTAGTCACCAGGGGCAGGTGCTTACCCATTTGGTGAACTACAACCTAGATATAAATAACACATAATTTATCCACATAAGCATTTTGCAAAAGGAGAGTATCAGTTTATCACTTAAAATCAGTTTCTCATATATCCACGATCATAGCGGTATGATCAGCAGTATTATTCACAACAGGCAAAAGGTAGAAGAAATCCTAGTGTCCATCAACAGATAAATGGATAAACAAAATGTGGTATACACATATAATGGAATGTTACTTAGCCTTAAAAAGGAAGAAAACTGGAAGTGGTAGCACATGCCTGTAGCTTCAGCTACTCAAAAGGCTGAGGCAGGAGGACTGCTTGAGCCCAGGAGGTGGAGGCTGCAGTGAGCTACAATGGCACCACTGCACTCTAGCATGACTGACGAAGCAAAACCCTGTCTAAAAAAAAAAAAAAAAAGGAGGAAATTCTGGCACATGCTACAACAATAGGTATTAGGATAAAAATAATGAAAGAAACTAATCACAAAAAGACAAAAGGCAAAGACTGTATGATTCCATTTATATGAGGTAGCTGAAATAGTCAAATTCAAAGACAAAAAATACAATAGTTGTTTCCAGGGGCTACTGTTTAATAGGTACGGAGTTTCAGCTTGGAAAGATGAGAGGAGTTTTGTAGATGAATGGTAGTGATGGTTGCACAAATGTGAACGTATTTCATGCCACTGACCTGGATACTTAAAAATGGTTACAATGAGGCCGGTGGCTCACGGCTGTTAATCCCAGCACTTTGGGAGGCCGAGGCGGGCAGATCACCCGAGGTCAGGAGTTTGAGACCAGCCTGGCCAACATGGTGAAACCCCGTCTCTACTAAAAATACAAAACAGCTAGGCATGGTGGCAGGTGCCTGTAATCTCAGCTACTCAGGAGGCTGAGGCAGAAGAATTGCTTGAACCTGGGAGGCAGAGGTTACAGTGAGCTGAGATCATGCCATTGTACTCCAGCCTGGGCAACAAGAGCAAAACTCCATCTCAAAATAAATAAACAAATAAAGGTACAATGAGCCACATATGGTGATGCACACCTGTAGTCCTAGCTACTTGGGAGGCTGAAGCAGGAGAACTACTTGAGCCCAGGAATTTGAGACTGCAGTGTGCTATGATTGCATCTGTGAATAGCCACTGTACTCTAGCCTAGGCTATCTCAAAGAAAAAAAAAAAAAAAAAAACAGGTTAAAATGGTAACTTTTATGTTATGCATAAAGCCACAAAATGGCTTCTCTGCAATTTAATAATGATAATAATAACAGTAATACATTTACATACATATCTTTTTCAAGTAGCTAAATGCATTGTGTTAAGGTCATCTAATTAATCCTGGGGAGTAAGTAGATAACTAGGAGGAAGAGCCTTAAACCATTTGGCCAATAAGTAAAGCCAATGGTTTCCAAACCTTGCTGCATATTGGAATCACCTGGGACTCTTTAAAAACTGATGCCTGGGCCCCCTCCCACCCCACCGACCCTTAGACATTTTAATTTAATTGGTGTGGAATGCAACCTAGGCATCAGGATTTTTAAAGGCTGACTAAAAAGAATAACACCTAACTATGATCATTTTCTAAACTTACAGAGACGTACTAGCTCCATAAAGGACAGGCCATATGGTGGTAGAAAAATACTAAAATAAGATTTTGGAATATGAATAGACCCAGTTGTAACCCTACTTTGAAAGCAGAGTAGGATTTCTTGATAAGGACAAAGGAAAAGACTATTAAAGCAACTACAGATCTCAATGGGGAGGCAAACTGAAGGAGAGTAGCAGCAAATCCACTGAATTTTAATGATTGGGCTTTAAAATAGTGTTTGACACATAGCTTCTAATAACAAGCATCTAAACATAATAATTTTATTAAAGCAAGCTTCCAACAAGTTACCAATCAAGGAGCTAAGGAGTACAGAAATCAATAAAAATTCAAAAAGACATAGACTAGCTTGGTGTTGCTAGAGATTTATACGACTTCACTCAAAAGATAAACGTACGTACTCATCAGAGAAGATAAGTATTTGGGAATCACAGTAGCTGAGTTGGCTTGTGAGGTGAAAGGTCCTAAGAGACAAGAGCATTGCATCTACTTGTTTGGGAATGATCATTCCTACCAAGAGCAACCTCTAGGATTTGGAGACTATTACCTTAATGAAATCTCACCCATAATCCAATAGCTATAAAATGGGAAGATTTTTCTTCGGTAATGAATTGAACTTTACTCTTAAACATTCAGTTTTCTTTGACTGTAAAACTAAACATTCTATTAGAACATAAGACAGTATAGCTTCCACAGTAAGATTAATATTTGGGTACATTTGATTTAGGGTAATATTATTATAGAAATTGGAAGAGCATGATTCAGTCTAACATTCTTTACTTCTTGGTATTTTTTATTTAAAAGGTATTTCCTTAAGTCAGCGTGTACTCAAAAGTCCTACATAAAGCATGCCAGTGTCTGTAATTAACAACCTCCTCCTAACAATACACATCACTGAAATCACTACAATTCGGACACCTAATCAATTCAAAGTCTCTTATTAAAAAAAAAAAATGTTGGCCAGGTGCAATGGCTCATGCCTGTAATTCTAGCACTTTGGGAGGCTGAGATGGGTGGATCGCTTGTATCCAGGAGTTCAAGACCAGTCTGGGCAACATGGTGAAACCCTGTCTCTACATACATACATACACACATACATACATACATAGCCGAGTGTGGTGGCATGCGCCTATAGTCCCAGCTACTCAAGAGGCTGAGATGGGAGACAGCTTGAGCCTAGGAGGTCAAGGCTACAGTGAGCTGTGATCACACCACTGCACTCAGAGTAGGCAACAGAGTGAGACACTATCTCAAAACAAAATAAAAATGTCAAAGAAAGCTTGAAGTATGAGAAGATGCCCCTTCTTACACAGGTTAAAGAAAATATTAATTTAGTTCTTAAATTTTTATAATTTAGTTATAGAAGGGCACTGATAAGTTCTGGAATATAAGATGCCCCTGTTCAATGTAATATTAAGCAACACAATAATATTCCAACAGTTAATGTTGGAATTACAGTACTTCAGATTTTGGGACCAAAGGAGTCTTTAGAGGCAGGTTTCATGAATATAAGAATATATGTGATGGAGAAAAAAAGCAACTCATTCGTGTATTTATCCAACAAGGAGTGCCACAGGTTATATTCTAGGTCCTGGGGATATAATGACAAAGTCTTGCCCTCAGAGAACTAACCTTCTAGAAAGGGTCGGGTGGGAATTATAGAAAAATAGCAAGTAGTAATAAGCACTGCAGAAGAAAAACAAGAATACAGAGACTGAAGGAGGGCAGGACATCGGGAACAGGGTGCCATTTCAGATGACATGATCAAGAAGATTTCTATGATGAGCTGGTATCTGAGCAGAGGACTGAATGAAATGAAGGAACATACCATGTGAAAATCTGGGTGAAAAACATTTCAGGCAGAGAGAATAGCAAATGCAAAGGCAGGAGGATTCTTGGTATGCTCTAACAATAGTGAAGAAGCTGCTGGGGTTGGTGGTAGGAGATGAAGTCAGAACAGTAGCCAGGAGCCAAATTGTTCAGCATCTTAAAGACCACAGTAAGGATTTTCAGGTTTTCTTCTATATATGTATGGAAAACTATTAAAGAAACTTAGATGGGAA